TAGTTCATTAGAGTACCCAGCCTCAGAAATTGCAGCCCAAATAAATGCTTCACAGAGTTCAAGTAACAGACACTCTCAACATCAACGTCAGAGGAGACTGCGTGAATCAGGCCTTCATGGTCGAATTGCTGCAAAGAAACCACTTCTAAAGGACACCAATAAGAAGAAGAGATTTGCTTTGGCCAAGAAACACGATCAATGGACATTAGACCGGTGAAAATCTGTCCTTGGTCTGATGAGTCCAAATTTGAGATTTTGGTTCCAACCGCCATGTCTTTGTGAGACGCGGAGTTGGTGGACGGTTGATCTCCGAATGAGTGGTTGCCACCGTGAAGCATTGAGGAGGAGGTGTGATGGTGTGGGGGTGCTTTGCTGGTGACACTGTCTGTGATTGATTTAGAATTCAAGGCACACTTAACCAGCATGGCTGGATACGCCATCCCATCTGGTTTGTTCTTAGTGGGACTATCATTTGTTTTTCAACAGGAAAATGATCCAACACACCTCCAGGCTGTGTAAGGGCTATTTGACCTAGAAGGTAAGTGATGGAGTGCTGCATCAGATGACCTGGCCTCCACAATCACCCCGATCTCAACCCAATTGAGATGGTTTGGGATGAGTTGGACTGCAGAGTGAAGGAAAAGCAGCCAACAAGTGCTCAGCATATATGGGAACTCCTTCAAGACTGTTGGAAAAGCATTCCAGGTGAAGCTGGTTGAGAGAATGCCAAGAGTCTGCAAAGCTGTCATCAAGGCAAAGGGTGGCTACTTTGAAGAATCAAAAATATAAAATATGTTTGATTTGTTTAACACTTTTTTGGTAATACATGATTCCATATGTTTTATGTAATAGTTTTGATGTCTTCACTATTATTCTGCAATGTAGAAAATAGTAAAAATTAAGAAAAACCTTTGAATGAGTAGTTGTGTCCAAATTTTTTGACTGTACTGTATATATAATATATACATTGCATTCGGAAGTTTCAGACCTCTTCCCTTTTCCACATTTTGTACGTTACAGCCTTATTCTAAAATGTATTAAATGCATTTTTTCCTCATCAATCTATGCAAATTCAATTGATTAGACATGATTTGGAAAGGCACACGCCTGTCTATATAATATCCACAGTTGACAGTGCATGTCAGAGCAAAACCAAGCCATGAGGTTGAAGGAATTGTCTGTAGAGACAGGATTGTGTCGAGGCACAAATCTGGGGAAGTGTACCAAAAAATGTCTGCAGCATTGAAGGTCCCCAAGAACACAGTGGCCTCCATCATTCTTAATGGAAGAAGTTTGAACCACCAAGACTCTTCCTAGAGCTGGCCGCCCAGCCAAACTGAGCAATCGGGGGAGAAGGGCCTTGGTCAGGGACGTAACCAAGAACCCGATGGTCACTCTGACAGAGCTTCAGTGTTCCTCTGTGGAGATGGGAGAACCTTCCAGAAGGACAACCATCTCTGCAGCACTCCACCAATCAGGCCTTTTTGGTAGAGTGGCCAGAAGCCACTCCTCAGTAAAAGGCACATGACAGCCCATTTGGAGTATGCCAAAAGACACCTAAAGGACTCTCAGACCATGAGAAACAAGATTCTCTAGTCTGATGAAACCAAGATTGATCTCTTTGGCCTGAATGCCAAGCGTCACTTCTTGAGGAAACCTGGCACCATCCCTACGGTGAGGTGGTGGTGGCAGCATCATGCTGTGGGATGTCTTTCAGCGGCAGGGACTGGAGACTAGTCGGCTTGAGGGATCGATGATCGAGCAAAGTACAGAGAGATCCTTGATGAAAACCTGCTCCATGACCTCAGACTGGGGCGAAGGTTCACCTTCCAACAGGACAACGACCCTAAGCACACAGCCAAGACATCGCAGGAGTGGCTTCGGGACAAGTCTTTGAATGTCCTTGAGTGGCCCAGTAGGAGCTGTTCCAACATCTAGTGAAAAGCTTTCCAAGAAGAGTGGAGGCTGCTATAGCAGCAAATGGGGGACCAACTCCATATTAATGCCCATGATTTTGGAATGAGATATTTGATGAGCAGCTGTCCATATACTTTTGGCCATGTAGCGTATATATATTTTTTTACATAACTTAAATATTTAAGCAATAAGGCCCGAGTAGGTGTGGTATATGGGTAATATATACTACATTACCAAAAATATGTGGACACACCTGCTCGTCGAACATCTCATTCCAAAATCATGGGCATTAATATGGAGTTGGTCCCTGCTTTGCTGCTATAACAGCCTCCACTCTTCTGGGAAGGCTTTCCACTAGATGTTGGAACATTGCTGTGGGGACTTGCTTCCATTCAGCCACAAGAGCATTGGTGAGGTCGGGCACCGATGTTGGGCGATTAGGCCTGGCTCGCAGTCGGCGTTCCAATGAATCCCAAAGGTTTTCGATGGGGTTGCGGTCAGGGCTCTGTGCAGGCCAGTCAAATTCTTCCACCACCGATCTCAACAACCATTTCTGTATGGACCTCACTTTGTGCATGGGGCATTGTCATGCTGAAACAGGAAAGGGCCTTCCCCAAACTGTTGCCACAAGTTGGAAGCACAGAATCGTTCTAGAACGTAATTGTATGCTGTGGCGTTAAGATACACCTTTTGTATATATAGTGTACCATGGCTAAGGGCTGTTCTTATGCCCGACGCAACGCGAGTGCCTGGACACAGCCCTTAGTCATGGTATATTGGCCGTATATCACAAACCCCAAAGGTGCCTTATTGCTATTATAAACTGGTTACCAACGTAATTAGACGGTAAAATAAATGTTTTTGTCATACCCGTGGTATATAGTCTGATCTACCACGGCTGTCAGCCAATCAGCATTCAGGGCTAGAACCACCCAGTTTAAAATATAAATATAAATATATATATATATGTATACAGTGGGGAGAACAAGTATTTGATACACTGCCGATTTTGCAGGTTTTCCTACTTACAAAGCATGTAGAGGTCTGTAATTTTGATCATAGGTACACTTCAACTGTGAGAGACGGAATCTAGAACAAAAACCAGAAAATCACATTGTATGATTTCTAAGTAATTAATTTGCATTTTATTGCATGACATAAGTATTTGATACATCAGAAAAGCAGAACTTAATATTTGGTACAGAAACCTTTGTTTGCAATTACAGAGATCATACGTTTCCTGTAGGTCTTGACCAGGTTTGCACACACTGCAGCAGGGATTTTGGCCCACTCCTCCATACAGACCTTCTCCAGATCCTTCAGGTTTCGGGGCTGTCGCTGGGCAATAAGGACTTTCACTCCCTCCAAAGATTTCTATTGGATTCAGGTCTGGAGACTGGCTAGGCCACTCCAGGACCTTGAGATGCTTCTTATGGAGCCACTCCTTAGCTGCCCTGGCTGTGTGTTTCGGGTCGTTGTCATGCTGGAAGACCCAGCCACGACCCATCTTCAATGCTCTTACTGAGGGAAGGAGGTTGTTGGCCAAGATCTCACGATACATGGCCCCATCCATCCTCCCCTCAATACGTGCAGTCGTCCTGTCCCCTTTGCAGAAAAGCATCCCCAAAGAATGATGTTTCCACCTCCATGCTTCACCGGTTGGGATGGTGTTCTTGAGGTTGTACTCATCCTTCTTCTTCCTCCAACACGGCGAGTGGAGTTTAGACCAAAAGCTATATTTTGTCTCATCAGACCACATGACCTTCTCCCCATTCCTCCTCTGGATCATCCAGATGGTCATTGGCAAACTTCAGACGTCCTGGACATGCGCTGGCTTGAGCAGGGGGACCTTGCGTGCGCTGTAGGATTTTAATCCATGACGGCGTAGTGTGTTACTAATGTGTTTTCTTTGAGACTGTGGTCCCAGCTCTCTTCAGGTCATTGACCAGGTCCTGCCGTGTAGTTTCTTGGCTGATCCCTCACCTTCCTCATGATCATTGATGCCCACGAGGTGAGATCTTGCATGGAGCCCCCAGACCGAGGTGATTGACCGTCATCTTGAATCTTTCCATTTTCTAATAATTGCGCCAACAGTTGTTGCCTTCTCACCAAGCTGCTTGCCTATTGTCCTGTAGCCCATCCCAGCCTTGTGCAGGTCTACAATTTTATCCCTGATGTCCTTACACAGCTCTCTGGTCTTGGCTATTGTGGAGAGGTTGGAGTCTGTTTGATTGAGTGTGTGGACAGGTGTCTTTTATACAGGTAACAAGTTCAAACAGGTGCAGTTATACAGGTAATGAGTGGAGAACAGGAGGGTTCTTAAAGAAAAACTAACAAGTCTGTGAGAGCCGGAATTCTTACTGGTTGGTAGGTGATCAAATACTTACTGTATGTCATGCAATAAAATGCAAATGAATTACTTAAAAATCATACAATGTGATTTTCTGGATTTTTGTTTTAGATTCCGTCTCTCACAGTTGAAGTGTACCTATGATAAAAATTACAGACCTCTACATGCTTTGTAAGTAGGAAAACCTGCAAAATCGGCAGTGTATCAAATACTTCTTCTCTCCACTGTATATATATATATATATATATATATATATATATATTCAGACCTCACTTTGAGACCCCTGAATGTATACTACAGAGAATAGATTCCGTTGATTTGTGGTTTGTCACTGCCCAAACACAACTTTCCAACAAACAGCAACATTTGATTTTGTCGCCTAATGTTTTGTCCGATTGTGTGTGTTTTGTGTCTGTGTGTTCTCCTTAGCTGCTGTTGTGTCCGTCAGGGGACAAGTCGTCATGTCGTGAGATGGTGGTTCACAGCACAGTCTCCAGGTCGGAGGTTTGACCCCAGGATCAGATTATGACATCACCATCCTGAGCCTGCTGGTATCGGACTTCAGCCAGCCTGTCACTACACAGTTCTCCACACGTAAGACACACACACACACACACACGCACGCAAATCAACCTCTTTGTGGCAACTCTTAATGTGGCTAGCCATATCAGGGCCATATCAAAGCTCCTAGTAGTAACCTTTAACCCTCAGAGACTGAGACAGAGCTGAATATGAGATGAGATAGATGAGATGTTATACTAAGTGTGGTGTGTGTGTGTGTCTGATGCAGGTCCGGCCGGTGTGTGTTCACTCTCTCTGCTCTATGTTAACTCTTCCTGTGCCGTGGTGAGGTGGGACGCTGCCATTGGCCAGTTTGACTTCCACAGGGTACTGTGAGAAATGGCTCTCAAACACATACGCTAGAGGTATCCAGGGAGATGCAGGTTGCTACAGTAACTGGGTTGAGGGATGGCTGTAGCTACAATATGAGCGTGGAGCGCATCAGACGAGGAGAGGCAGGACAGCTGCCTCCCTGACTGTAACCACAGGTACCTGAGTGTAACACAACTACATTACTCTGACCACGCTATGATCACAGCTCAACCACAACTTCCCTGATTTTAAGCATGGGTTCACTCAATAGTTTACATAAAATATTTATCTCTTTCTCTGTGTCCCTCCATCTCTCGCTCTCCCCTCTCTCTTTATCTTTCTCTCTCTCTCTCTCTCTCTTCTCTCTCTCTCTCTCTCTCTCTCTCTGTCTCTCTCTCTCTCCTCTCCTCTCTCTCTCTCTCTCCTCTCTCTCCTCTCTCTCTCTCTCTCTCTCTCTCTCTCTGTATCCCTCAGTGCTGGGCCATGTGCGGGGTGTGTATGTGGTTAGTGTGTCTGCTCAGACTTCTCTCTGCGTTGGGAGCAGTCAGAGGGCTGTGTGGACAGTACCTCGTCAGCCTGCTGGCCCAACCAAGGAACTGTCTCTGTCTACCACACACACGATGGACGCGTACAGGTACACACACACGGAAGCTATTACATAGTAGACGTTAGCAGCAGCAGTGAGACAGGAGTTAATCTGCTTCTGTAAATGTCAACATAAGTTGAGTTATGGAGACACACACACACACACCTATACTAACACATACCTCCCCTCACCCAGATCCCACCCCTTCCCGACCTTGCCCAGCAGCCAGGTGTCAGATACCCCCAGCGTAACCTAACACAAAAACACACACATACACACACAGGTTGAGTAATAGAGCTCATTATTTATTAGGTAGACCTACTGAGCTCAACCCTGAATCATTCATTTGGTGAGCTGCTCTCCCAGAGAGAGAGAGCGAGAGAGAGTTTGCCTGCATGGAGTTATGGTGCACACACTGCCCTGCCTCTCTCTGACCTAACCGGCTAACTGCTGACCACTGGACGATGGCTAACGGTGGACTGGGTTACTACCAGAGCTGGACTACATCTACTATTGCTGTAGCTAACCTGTTGCTACCCTAAGACTGGACTATTACTACTACTGTAAATCTTTCTGCTCTAATTGTTTCTACATTGTTGGTGACTGTACTGCCCTCAAACTCTTCAACTCTAACCTGCTAACCGTAGCTAACTATCGCTAACTGTGGACTGGGTTAACTACGTAGGCCTGGATGACTGCTCTAAGATCTAACCTGCTGTAAACACTGTGACCTGCTGTAGCTAAATGCTGACAACACTGGATTGAACAATGCGCTAAGCCCTCTAACCTTGAGCTAATGTGTAGCACTGGACGCTAACATTGCCTCTTTCTCTCGCTAACCCTGCTGCCTCTGACCAGCAAACAGCTTAACTGGCTAACAGGTAACTGGGCTAACTGGGTAACTAGGCTAACAGGGCTAACTGGGCTAGCTGCAGCATGGCCATCACTCTCCTCCTGATCATCACCTTCTACCTGGGATCACACACCACAGGTTAGACTGCTCCACACACACACACACACACACAGTCATCTGCAACCACATACTGTAGTTTGTGTTGTGGTTGTGTTCATGTTCTGACCGTGCAGTCTCTTCTCAGGCTGATGTTTTCCAGTCTGAGTCCTCGAACAGTGTTTACGGTCATGGTGACCGCCGCCTCCTCCTCCAACCTCAGCCCTCCCGGTCAGCCGCATATAATCAACACCAACGAGACCGGTGAGATGTGTTACAAACCGAACTGATAGTGGTCTGCTCTGAGGAAACTGTTCTGCTGCCTGCCCTCTGCTGATAATGGCTGATAATATTTATTATCTCCCACACTGTGCGTGTGTGTGCGTGTGTGTGTGTGTGTGTGTGTGTATATGTGTGTGTGTGTGTGTGTGGTGTGTGTGTGTGTGTGGTGTGTGTGTGTGTGTGTGTGTGTGTGCGCGCTGCGTGCGGTGTGTAGGTGTGTGTGTGTGTTTGTAGTGTTGTGTACGTTTGTGTGTGTGTTGTGGTAACTCTAGCCTTGCTAAGCAGGATGATGATGCTGTAGTGAATGTCAGTGAAATGCCAGAGCTCTGAGGGTCTATTCACCAGAATAGAGCAAGCTGGTCATACACACCCATAATGTCTCATCATTCTCCCAGTTTGTTGAATGGACTTCCTAGTTTAGGCAGGATGTTACTGTTATGTATGGATTGGATTCTTTCTGGAATATGGCCTTAACAGTTTCTCCTCTCGTCTCTTCTTCTTTCCTCTCCTCCCCTCTCCCTCCCAGCCCCAACATCCCCTCCCACCATCTAGAGGGGGAGCGGGTGGGCTCCAATGGGATCCTTCTATCTTGGACCATGCCCTCTGACTCCCGCATCGACGGTTATGTCATCAGGTAAGGAGACATATGATGTAGACCCAGATTAAGCCTTCTCCTGGAACACTATGAGGGGAATAACACTGTAAGGGGAATAGGGGTTGATATTCCACCACTATTTACCTCTAAATAAAGTTTAAATAAAGTTGTTTGTATATCATCTGGTGTTTAAATAAAGTTGTTTGTTTATCATCTGGTGTTTAAATAAAGTTGTTTCTATTTAATTTAATAGGTACAAGGAGGTGTGTCCGTATCCAGACACCACCTTCAAAGAGGTGACCAAACACCTGGCATCCCTGAGACCCTTCTCAACCTCTTTTTACCAGGTCTACCTATAACATCAGGTAACAATCATACAGTAAACATACTGTAAGTAACGTCTCTCTGCTCTCGCACTCTTTCACACACACATCTAGAAGGTAATCATACACAGGAGAGGCTATACAGACATGCCTGGTGTCCAAAACTTACCAGTCAAACAGTACCAGTCAAAATTTTGGACACACCTACTCATTCAGGGTTTTTCTTTATTTTTTACTATTTTCTACATTGTAGAATAATAGTGAAGACATCAAAAGTATGAATACACACATGGAATCATGTAGTAACTGAAAAAGTGTTAAACAAATCAAAATATATTTATATATTTGAGATTCTTCAAAGTAGCCACCTTTTGCCTTGATGACAGCTTTGCACACACTCTTGGCATTCTCTCAACCATGAGGTAGTCACCTGGAATGTATTTCAATTAACAGGTGTGCCTTCTTAAAAGTTAATCGCCTGGAGCGATAATTGATAGGGAAAACTGACTTAATCCTCCCAAATAAAATAGTTAATTGACAAAAACAAACCAAACTCCCACTTCTTCCTTCCTTCAAATCTCCATATATCCCTTCTCAGGCTCTGGGGCCTAAGAGGGTGGTACGGCTTGTGACAATACTCCATGCAACTCTCCACTGAGAAATCTTTCAGTCCCAGGTACTGCGGCCGCCGCATCCACAATGATATCTATTTTCCCTGGACCTTCTCTCCACTTTGGCAGTGCCATTAATCCCATAGCTATGAAGGCCACAAAGTCCACCGTCTTAGCCTTTAAAATATATGGGTCCTGCTGATGAAAGGCAACCCCTGCAGCCTGCAGGGAAGGCCTATCCACCACCATGGACTCTTCAGGAGCATCATTCGAACCCTCAACCCTTTTAACAGCCGCTGCATATGAAATGCTCTGGACACCCTGACTTTGGCCACTCATTCTCTTTCACCCTGGTCGGGCATTCCAAAGACATGGCTTCATGGTTCCCACCACAATTGCAACAGTTCATCGCTTTAAACACATGACATATCTTTTCCACAACTTGGACTCCCGGCTTCTCCCTTCTTCAAAACTTGAAACAAAGGTTCCAAAGCTTTATTTATGGAGGAGGAGAGGCCTCGGCCGAACCGTGACAGTGAGACTTACAGAACAACGGTTTGACCTGTGTCATTGTCAAACAAAGGTATATAACAAAAAGTATGGAAAATTTTGATATTGACCAAATATTTATTTCAACCATAATTTGCAAAAGACATTCATTAAAAAATCCTACAATGTGATTTTTCTGGATTTTGTTCCCTCATTTTTGCGCCCTGTCCATAGGTTGACGTGTACCTATGATGAAAATTACAGGCCTCTCTCATCTTGTAAGTGGGCGAACTTGCACAAATGGTGGTGACTAAATACTTTTTTTCCCAATGTATAGGCCACAGCGGTCATTTTTTTTTTTTTAGTTTTTCTTTGTCCTACATTTTTTTGGTCATATTATGCTTTATTTATAAAAAGTTTCTTAACACAGGCACATTCCGTACTTTGTCCCCTTCCACTTGCCTCTTCCATTTTTGTGGTAATGCTGCAATTAGTTGGTTAAGTTGGGTAGAGGAGACATTTCCCTATATTTTGTTGCGACAGTGTGACAAACTCCACCACGTCATATAAAGATATACCGTTGGTTTGTTTTAATATGTTTTTGTAAATCAATAGTATATTGGAGTTGTAACCAAATTTGATGTTTATTTGTTCGTCTTTTCTGGTGGATTAAACTGAAATGCAAAACATCGCTTTCTATGCTTGCTTATAAAATAGCGATATTTGGAGATATCTGAATTAAAGGAGAAGGACATGGCCATTTCTTGAAACAGGGGTGAGACATTCTTACTAATCTGCTAGAGAACCAGTTCAGAGTTAGTATCACTTTTGTATGACTGAGCATAGTGCGAGGTTTAATGCTTAATATTGAATAATCCTTCACAATTGTCCAACCCTGGTCTCAACGCCCTGATTGCTTCTATCAGGTTCAGTTCGTCCTTGGTGGGGGTTGGAGAAGTTCTGTTTTGTTGTTTCAGTAGCCAAAGGATGCAAATAAAGTGATGGGAAACTATGTGTGACCTTTAAAGATCTTTGTAAATGTCTGTTAATCTCTCTGCTATCTTCTCTCTTCGCAGCTCTCTCTATTATCAAGCTGACGAACAGCTATGAAAAGCACAGGTGACTGTGGCAAAAAATGTATCAATACACAATAACAGAGTCTTACCGACAGCTCTTCACCTCTCCCTATATAACAGAGACCAATGGCAAAAACTAGGGTGAAACTTTAAAAAAGCATAAACACGAGGTGAGGCATTATCCACCACTGCTAACGGGTCATTCCACCAATTTGGTTCCTTTGAGAAGGGGAATTGGTCCCCACAAAAAACCAGTTGATTTCCCTTATTTTTTACATTCTGTCATTAAAGAGCACATGTTCAACTTAATAAAAACGTTTCCCATCTCAAGAGGTAATTAAAAATATAACACTATACCTCAACCTGACTTTACACTATGATTGGAATATTAGATGTTCCAAATCTTTCTTTTGAATACTAAAAAAAGAAACCAGTTTCAAATATTAAAAGAGAGTTAAGTAAAATAAACAGGGTTGACCTTACAATGAAGAATCACTAAAACAAATCAATAAATAATAATCTCAGAAATGACTTGTGTCAAAGCAACAAAATAACTAGGTCTTTACAGGATGGTGAAAAACTTTTGGAGAACATTTTGTGGTTAAGTGGGTAAAATCTTCTAGAAGTCATAGAGGGTGCACAAGGGATAGTACTTTATTTTATTTTGGCACTTAGCAAGTCTTTATATAATAAAATCACTTTGATTGATTTCTACATGTGGTCTATATTAAAGGGTACTTTATTAATTAACAAGCTTTCATTATCGTTTTTCTGAAATTGCTAAAACACTAAAACCCATCTCTGAACAAATGCTCATGGGCCTAAACCCATTTGTCGAATCAATCACTATTTTTTGCAAAAACTTTTAAACACATTATCACTCACATAACACATTTCGCACTGTGATGCACTTGGTTACCAAAATGGTAAAACAGGCGGCAAAAGTTAACGACAACTACAAACACATTGTCATAGTTTACCACACAACGACTCCAAATTGTTCACACTGTTTATAATTTACATTTACATTTCGTCATTTAGCAGAGCTCTTATCCAGAGCGATTACCAAATTCTATGATGTGATCAAAACCAATTGTACGAATATAAGCCCAGTCAGAGTGCACAGGTGCGTTGAATGTTGTACCAACAATGGATGGAAACACTGAGAGGCCAGAGGAGAAGAGTAAGGGTAAGAGGTGGTGGACAAGGGGAAGGTACGCAGGACGAGGAAGAGCAAGACCAAGAACAGTAATTTCAGAAGAAGTAACTGTGATTTAACCAATGTTGTTGTTCATGGAATGACAATGAGGGAAGCAGGACAAAGAGTACAACCCAATTGAGCAGTGTATTCTCTGTGGCCACCATAATCAGGGACATTCAGAGAAGAGACAACAGGTAATTGTTGCTTTTATTTGGTCATTGAAAGTTTACTGTATACATTGATTTCCAGTACATCACTCTTGCTGGGGAAAAAAATAATTAAATTTTCTACCATAAACATATTTACGTATAGAAGTAATGTCCATTATATGTTACTGTATGTATCTGTTTGTAAGTGCATTTTCCCTTTGGAGAATTGCAAGACTACCACATGAGGGTGGAAGCCTGCTATGTTCTCCAACAGCGAGAGGCTCTCATGTTATATGGTCCTGTCAAAACAATGCCATCGACTGGTTAATACAGCAAAGAGCTGCTTGAACAACAATGGAAACTTTGACGGAAATCAACAGGTCAGACTTTCTACCCTTGACCGTGTCCTCCAGCGCAACAGGGTATGCATGAAGCAAGTGTAGAGTACCCTTTGAGCGAACTCAGAAAGGGTCAAAGATCACGATTTCAGTCTTGCCAGTAAGTGTACACTCAGACACTTTCATCGCTGATGCTTAAGTAACAATGCTATGCTACTAACCTACTGTTACTGTAACTGCATAAATTGTAGGTATGTTAAATGCATCGATTGCAGAAGAAGCATGTCGTTCTGTATAACTTAACTAAACTACTTATTTATCTAGTTTATATAGAGAGATGTTCTGAATTGGATTTTTTCATGGAAAGGCCCCATGAATACATTTTTGTAGATGAACAGGGTTCAAAGCTGGCGAGAGGAGAGGAGAGACCGGAACGTAATGGGCCAAGTGCCATTGTGAAGTCATTGGCCAGCGTGGTGGAAATATCCCCCTTTGTGCAGCCTAAGTTAATCGTGGGGTTCTCCACCGTCATGGCAACCTGGGGCCATAGAACATGAACATCTTCTTACTTTTGGGTGGTCTTCAGGATGTTTTGTTTGAGCGTGGAGCGTGAGGCGGATCATCAGCAGCAGTGCATCAAGGTCTATGTCGTGGTTGGGACAATGTCAGCTTCACCATGGTGTCCAGATTACGGAGTGGTTCAACATAAACCGCGATTCATAAATGTTTGGCCTTTCACATTACAGCCCTTCCTCAAAACCCAAGAGAATAGTGTTTCTCTGGTGGCGGTGGAAGGTCTATGGCCGAAAACCCCATATACCAGGGAAAAATCTCTTACAGGCAATGGAATTGGCCTGTGGTGACATGAGGTGTGGAGTGTGTCAAGGCTGGATCCAGCACACCAGAGGTTTTCTCCCCCGTTGCTGGCAGGGACAACGTTGCCTGTGATGGGACGAAGTTCCTCTGGCCGGAACCAGACTGAAATCTTTATTGACTTGATTGCGCAGTTGACAACATTTTTGAGGTATGTAATGGCTTTGTCACGTACGTTAGAGAGGGTGGACAAGGTGCGCGCGAGAAGGCGTACGATGTTTAGGTTCCACCTTAATGCACAGGGGCGTCGCCCGGCTCGACATCCCCTCTGAGTGGTCGTCACCCCTGACAGCAACTAG